TCCAGATTAATAGGTTTGTAACCACTGGGACCAAGATATGTACTTCCCTCAATACAATAGCTGCAGCTTATGCAATGTTTACAAGATTATCCTTAGCCATGTGCAGTCGGTCCTTAAATACTTTTTTGGGGCCATCTTGTTTAGCTGGAGACACTTAAATAATCACCTCCTATTGGTGACTGCTAGAAAAGTTATTTATCTGCCTACCAGTAACATTTCCTCATTGTATGCAGAGAACCGCCAATGAGCAGCTCAGTGTACAAACTTGGCTTGCTGTAGGTTTCAGAACAAAATGACTTGCATGCTCATGCTTGGGGGCTACATCATCCCTGCCCAGCCAATGAGATGACTGAAGACTCTGGACCCAAAAGAAGACCAGGAGAAGATGGCAGCATCAGTTGGAGCAATGAGGTGAAGTGCGGACACTGCATCACTGGAGCAGGGCACTTTGGGAGGTGAGTGAGCCATAATGTGCAAATTTACTTTGCACACTTGCAGGTTAAAGACAAAAGCCTTAGGGGCCAAAAGTCTATTCACTTCTACTTTAAGGAAATCTGTTGTAAGGAGAATGGAGGCTGTTATTGCTGACCATTGCTCCTGACAATACCAGCTAACTGGCTGTCAAACTGATTCAGGCTCCTCATTACTTTTGGAGTTACTAATCCAAAACAAATATGCAGTTTCAATCTGACTGTTAATTGGGACTAAGGTAGTATGTGATAGTGTACAAATGTGTTGTATTGTTTAAAGCTGAACTGCAGGCATAGCAAATATTGTTTTATGGGGGGCATGTGTATTCTTACTTGAATCTTGGTGGTTTTTGTATATGTCTTCCTGATCTGTGCAGTAATCCAGTGTGAAACTTTTCTGTAGTACAGACCAGTTACTGCTGCTCTCTATGCTTGTGTAGGGTGACTGGTCTTGCCTCCGCCCCCTAGTTTTCTGCAGGCAGCCTGTAGTGGGTGGGGTCTGCTGGGTGTCCCCAACAGCTTGGTACTCTGCACAGGCTATGTACAGCACAGTGATGACGTCATTGCTACTTTTACAAAGTAATACTTGAGTTTGTTAAGGCATTTAGTGCACGCAAAATGAATTTCTATCCTTTGTGGCTATTGAGGAATATATTTAAATGAACATTTTTCTGCCTGCAGTTCAGCATTAAGTTTACATGATAAAAATAAAAGTCAGCTAACCTCAGTTTCATAGTATGCTTCTGGTTTCTGTTTGTAAATCTTGGAGATCTGATTTCCTGTGAAACGCTAAAAGATAAACGAAATACTGTATATAATATAATATATGAACATAACTAATAAAAACAGCACATAGGACATATGTACAGCAACAACGCCAAAACATGTCTACATGGCTTACTTCCACCACAAATCCCAAACAAGGCATTTATTCCTAATTTTATGATAGTGGGCAGAGTCTTATGTACAGAAAGAGTGTAAAATTCTCAGGTGATTTTCCCTGTCTATCCACTAGGTGGCAGGCTTTGATCTGCTTATTTTAACAGTCCTATTTGGCGTAGCGACTGTTATTTTTAGCCTAATTTTAGACTGGCGCTATTTACAGTTATGTTCATTATTCTCACTACAACTTTAGCGCATGTTCAGTAAAATAACTAAGTACTAATCTCAGTAGGTCACCGGCACACACACAGATAAGTTCTAATATCAATATCTCTTTGAGATGTTTATTGAAGAATGTCACAGCCTGTCATTAGAAGATAACGTTTTGGGACCTCGCAGGGACCCTTCATCAGAGCGGCATAGTGGTTCCTGGAAACCACTATGGAAGAACTATTCTTCTTCCTGTGCCAGTTGTATTATTACATATTATTTACTGCTAATACATTACATAGACGTGTGGCTCTGTGAAGGAGTTTTGCAAAGAATCCAGAAAGTTGGGAACCAACCTGAATGTCTGAATTGTGCAAGAGATTATGCACACAGGAAATTTACCACCAATGGGGCACAAACTATTCTCTCTTTCAGTGTGTTATGCATAAGTTAGGTGCAAAAATAGACTAATAATATAGGGCCATTTATTCTAAACTGCATAGAGCTGTTTCAGGCTATTTGGCCACTATCAGTGCAGTACAGGTTTGGACTGAACCCGGTCTGAACATGAGCTTCTCCAAACCTGAGCTTCAATCATTCTGGGACAGAAAAAGGCCTTCTCCATACTGTTTCCACAAGGTCGGAAGCACACAGTTGTCCAAAATGTCTTTGCAGCTGTTGCATTAACAGTACCCTTCACAGAAACACCAGAACCTAATAATTTGGAGGGCTATCCACATACTTTTGGCCACACAGTATACGCTTACCTCATATGCTCTTGATCCAGTAATGTTAGCTAGTTCTTGTGGACCGCCAACAGACTTTTCAAGCTGGTGGCACTCTGCACTTGTACTAGAGTCCATCCAGACAGGACTATCACAGATAGAGAAACAAGACTGCAAAGAAAGATAATGAATGAATGAACACATTCCCATAAACTGATATTTGCATTTGGAAGAACCGGTCTAAGGGCTAGTTCACACCATAAGCAGTTGTGATGCAGTCCGTTTAGTTTGACTGCTGCAGCCAAAATACATCACAATGCTTTCCTAAGGGCTTTCTCGTGCTGTATTCACACCATTGCAGTCCGTGGAGATGCAGTCAGAAAAAGTACTGCTTGTCCTATTTTAGCTGCATCTAACTGCACCTGAGCGCATGCAAACGCATCAAAACGCACCGGAACGCATACAAAAAAAACCCAGAATTGATTGTGACATCATCCAGGGACATCCAGGGGGAAAAAACGCATCTGAACGCATCAAAAAAGCATCACAAACGAGTCAAAATGCATCAAAACGGATCGCAATGCAACTGCGCAGACGCACGCAGTTGTGATGCAGTTTCTGGTGTGAACTAACCCTAAGAGCCAGCTGTCTCTGAGGTTCAGGTGAGTATAACTTTTTTTACTTTATACCCTAGATGAAAATGAGCACTTAAAGGAGAACTATGAGGTGAGTGCTTTTCCCTCACCTCATAGTTCTCCTTTAAGCCTTGCAGTGCAGTGGTAGCCCCACTGCAAGGGTTAAGAATATTTTTTTTTTTCTGGAGCTCTTCTATAAGTGTTAGGGTGTGCTTTAGCATATAGCAACGTAGGGACAGTTAAGGTGCCCACACACCTTACGATAATCGTACGATCGCGGGATTTCCCGCGATTATCGTACGATTATCGTAAGGTGTGTGGGCACCTTAACTGTCCCTACGTTGCTATATGCTAAAGCACACCCTAACACTTATAGAAGAGCTCCAGAAAAAAAAAAATATTCTTAACCCTTGCAGTGCAGTGGTAGCCCCACTGCAAGGGTTAAAGGAGAACTATGAGGTGAGGGAAAAGCACTCACCTCATAGTTCTCCTTTAACCCTTGCAGTGCAGTGGTAGCCCCACTGCAAGGGTTAAGAATATTTTTTTTTTTCTGGAGCTCTTCTATAAGTGTTAGGGTGTGCTTTAGCATATAGCAACGTAGGGACAGTTAAGGTGCCCACACACCTTACGATAATCGTACGATAATCGTGGGAAATCCCGCGATCGTACGATTATCGTAAGGTGTGTGGGAGCCGTGCTAGAACCTCTGCTACTGTAAGGTCGCACAACTTTTATCTTAGGAACATGTTCAAAAACCCGGGAGAATCGTTTGATTTTCGGCGGGTGTGTAGCATGTTTGTAAGATAAAATCCGGACGGGCCGGTGTGCGCAATCGCACACTGCCTGTTCAGCATTGCGGTCATCAGAAGCATTGCGGTGATCACAAGTACGATCTACCTGTCAAAGATAGGCAGATCGTATGTTTTTTTAATTACCTTACAACCATCGCAAGACAAAAGTCTTGCGATGGTTGTAAAGTGTGTGCCCAGCCTTAGAGGATCTGCAGGTTTTTCACTTGTCCTGAGAGCCACATAGAAAACTACCAGTGTCATGAGTTATCACGCTGCAGGTGTATGGGTTGCAAGGAACAGAATTCAAGTAGCAGGAAGAAAGGTGTATGAGCCATGCAGCAGATGCATAGCAGATGGGATACTTTGTCAATTTAGACTGCAGTTTTAGAGTGTTCAAGGTAGGATATGATAATGGTGTAATGAAGTGTACAGCGCTAAATGCCCTTCAGGAAATTAGATAACGGTAGGGATCATATGGTGTCACCTCCGTGTCAAGCAATCGTGAAACAGTGTATATATAATAAATATTTGTGTAAAAACTTATAGTACGTTATAAAATGAACCTTATTAAATAAATAAATAAATAAACAAAAATCTTCAAAGAACATGTGTCATATATGTGAAAAAAATATTATAATATTATGCTGAGTTCAGCAGCTTTTTTCCTTTTTGGTTTTAGAAATTTTAGCTCCGGGGTCATATTAATATCTATTTTAAATTTTAATCCATCTTAATTTAGTTTTACTATTTCCGTTAGTGCAAGTTAGTTTGGTTCACAGGATATGATAATGGCATACATCAATATCTAGGTGTACCATGGACTAAACCTAATTGGGTCAGGTTTCTATAGGGCTGCAATGGATCACTGCCCAGAAAACTACTGTGGAGTTTATCAATCAGAGCACAGCAGTCTGCAAAAAGAAAAGAAAACAAGAAAGGAAAGAAAAGTGTATGTGCTACCAGTAGCAATCAGATTCCAGCTTTCATTTCTTCTAGTACAGGTGCAAGCAAACATCTACAGGGTTATTCACAAAAGGGTGAAGAGTTTGGAGAGGGCAAGAGAAGTGAAAAATCTAGGACAACATAGCGGAACTGGAATGTGAGCTGAATCAGAGGATTTTTCAAAATAAACTATTTTGTCCTAGATTGTTCCCTTCTCCTGCCTTCTCCAAACTCTTCACACTTTTGTGAATAACTCTGTTAGTTACACATTCCTTACCTCCAGCTATATGTAGATCCTTTATACTGACCTGCAGTGAAGTGTGCAGAGGAAGTTCAGATAGTAAACCATTGAGAACAGCTCTGGAGCCTTCTTTCCAATACACGCTGCCATGTTGCTGTAACATTATTATTATTATTATAATACAGGATCTATGTAACGCCAACAATTTGCACATGCGTAGCAAACAACAAGACAAACTGACCGCAATGTTCCCAGAACTGAACAAATACATGAGCCACTGAGAACTGATATATAGTCCATTGTATTGGAATGACATTGATGCATTGTCTACAGGGCTTTGCAAATGATGAAATATGTTTTAGAGGTCTAGCACTTAATTACTTTGGTAAACAAAAAAAATAGGGCTGTGAAAATTAAAGATTAATTTCTCGATTAATCGTTAAACTTTTTAATCGATTCAAATTATTTTGATCGCTAATGAGAACACTCACCTCTCCGCCGGCTTCCGGGAGTCCTGTCAGCGATCGGACATCGACGTCACCGGACTCCTCCCCCCTTCCCCAAGTGGCTCCGTTGGCTAACGAAGGGAAGGGGGGAGGAGTACGGTCTGGTGACGACGATGTCCGTGACGGCTAACGAAGGGAAGGGGGGAGGAGTCCGGTGATGTAGATGTCCGTGACGTCACCAGACTCCTTCCACCTTCGTTAGCCGACGGAGCCACTTGGGCCGGTGAGTTTGCCCAAGAAACTTTCTGCACGAGCGCCAGCCAAGGCATTGGCCTATACACATACAGCACAGCAATGAAGTAATAAAATGAACTAGGATCACTAATCCAGCACGTTATTATTCTGAGTTGCCCCAGTCAAGCGGCGGCCATATTGAGTGGGGCACGTGAGATTAATAACGTGCAGGATTAGTGTGATCCTAGTTCATTTTATTACTTCATTGCTGTGCTGTATGTGTATAGGCCAATGTAGTTGGATCTGTATGTGCGTTATAATTAATCGAAATTAATCGATTAATCGATTTTAAAAAATTTCGATTAATCGAACACAAAAATTGTAATCATTACCAGCCCTAAAAAAAAAAGCATCTACTGGGTAACAGTATACAGAATTGATGTGACTAATGTGCTTGTAAATAACTTGCACTGAGAAAAAAAAAAGAAGGCCACTGCTGACCTTTCCTTCCTGACAGGGGTTTTACCACCCCCTGCACCAACTCTACCCAAACTCAAAATAAAAGGTTTTGGCCCTTAAATATACTTAAATGTCTATGGGGCATAAGGTGGTTGGCGCAGAAGAATATCTCAACACCTTGGGTACCAGATATCAGATTCTCTTTTTATTTAATTCTTCTTCATGTATTTACATTTCCTCCCTAGATGTAAACAATATGTCCCAGGGTGCCCAGAAACACAATTCTAGTGTTGTGTTTGCCCACACCTTGGACATTCACTTCAAGGTTTCAGCACTTACCTGGCCTGTCCCCGACAAAGCTTTCACTTTGGAAAAATCAAACCCGGAAGACTTCATTCTCTCTAAGATATAATCTAAAGCCTGCAAAGAAAGACAAAATACTATAAGAATACCATAAAGGTAACGCCCCAAGTTCAATCAACTACCAGCTATGGTTTTCAAAACCTGGCAAGACAGGCAAATACATCCTCCTTATCTGGCTGTATTCTATACAGTGGTGGTGTGTAGGCATCAGTAGTATAAGGGCATCATGTAAGATTCCCATCCTTGTAAACTTGGTTGGAGCACCGGCTGGTGCATAGCAACTCTTTTCTATACTGAGCTGTCCATTGTGATCTTGTACTGGACCGGAAGTTCAGGGAAGCCAAGCAGAGAGTTAGAGTCAGCTGCTTGGGAGAAAAAGTATAAGAAATACTATGTTGGGCAATGTATGTTTGTTTGATCTGGATTAATTATTGAAAAAAAGTTTGAAGGTTTGATACTACTTTAAACATGCATGGAACGAACATAGCTCTTTAGGAAAAAATGGGGAAAAAACAAACAAGAAAATCAAATAGGGGCAGGTTCACTGGGCCACTTGGTCTTTATCTACTGTCACTCTTCTATGCATCTGTTTCCTCTATGTTTAGAACTTCCCCAGAGATATATATTCCTGCTCATGTGATTGGCTCAGTATTGTTCCCAGCAGTTTACGGCTGATTACAACATTGAGACAGATCATGTGATTATAGCGGTCAGACCCTCCCACTTTCAATACACGTCAGCAAGTAGCACTCTGAAAGGAAGTTTGTTAAAGTCCTTCTAATATCTGTAACTGACCAATAAAGATTTGTTCTCAGCAAAGGTGGACTTGTACTTTAAAGCAGAACTCCAGGTAAAATTTCCAAGGGTTAAGTGCTAGTTTTTGTCTAGGTTCAAACATAAAAAGGTTATATTCACCTCATCCTCCGAGCCAGCTTGCACTAAGAACCGGTCCCATCCACCTCGCCTGCCTTTTGCTGCAGCGGTCTAAGGTCCCTGACACATCACGTTCTATACACAGTGCATAGGACGTGAGGATACCAAGGGACATACCATTGCTGAAGTGGAGGAGGAGATAGGCTGGAGGAAGTGCCATCCCAACCGATCTGCACAGAAGGTCGGGTGAGTATATCTTTGTTATTTTTGAACCTAGACAAAAACAACCAAAACGAGAGGTAGCCCCCCTGCAAGGGTTAATAAAAATGTTACCCGGAGATCTATTTTAAATATGCAGGTTTTTCATATCATTTATCTAGAAGAAACTAATTCTATCCAGGAAATCTAATGGTTGTTAGAAATGCAGAGCATGTTCCTCTGAATTTAGAGGAAATATTATTATTAGTATTATTATTATTATTAATCGCTCTAAATTCAAAGGAACATGTTCTGCATTGCTAACAAACCTTATTTCATAATTATAATATTTTTTTTCTTGCTTGCATGCACTATTAAGAAGAAGGGCTTTGTTACAAATGTTTTAAATATTAGCCTTTGACTAGAAGTGTGTGACCCCAGTTCTTCTGCACATCTATTTGTAACCTACTATCATTGACCAATACTTGAGCAGCATCTACAGGCCAGGGGTTATGCAGCAGCCCTATTTTAAGTCCGCCCGTTACCCTAAGCAGAACAATGGGGAAAAGCCCTGACCCCATAGTTCTCCTTTAAGTTATTTCTTGATGAAAAGCTTATACTTGTGCACAACCTTTTACAGAAGTCAAAGGTCAATGAATAATGAAGTCAATAAGAAATTCTTACCTTAACCCACATTAAGACGGGTGAAGTTACGGTCAGCTTGTCACTATGGACATGGACCCCACCTTGTGTCCTGAAAACATGCACAAACACATTGATTTTTTCCCCAGCACTATTATCTTTATTATTACCCAGTAACTAAGAGCACAAATACTGTGAAAATGGTCCCGAAATTGTCAATAATGAGCCTATTTATGCATCACCCTCCCCAATTCTCTCACCTATTTCTTATCCATTTAATATCACTCAGCCGGGCGGTCAATGCATCTGTTGGAGGGCTGCATTGGTGAGTTTACACCTTTTGTACAATTGATCCCATTGTTCCTGTCACTGGTTGCCAGGAGCTTGGCGGGACACTCTGGGGGGGCATCCCACCGAGCTCGGGGCAACGAGTGATATCACTAGTTGCCGATCTCCCCCCCCCTCCCCCGCGCCGCTCAGGCCCTGTACATGGCAAGTATATTTTATGGTCATTTTGAGATTAATTGGGTTCATTTAGGTTGTTTTGTATTGTGTAATGGCCATTATAGGGAAGGACCGGTATTTAACCATCACCTGGCCAAATCAGCTGCAGGTTTGGCAGCTTTCCATTAAGAAATAGAAACATTAGGCAGGCCAAACTATCTGTTCATGAGCAGCAATGTAACTACACCTTCCTATATTTTACAGCCGAGGAAGGTGTCATCTTAGCCTCTGTTTAGACCTGCAGTTGCCATTGAGCTGCACATGTGATAAGCTTTGACCCCGGGAAATTTGAGGGATTGAAAGTCCAGCTGAGAGCTGACATAAACACACTGGCAACAGTGGCAGTTATCACCAGAGACATGCCTTGAATGTAACTGTTTTTGGAAATGGTTGAATTGGTGGGTTTCATTCTGCTGTTAAGTAAATTGGTCTCAAAACATGGCTAATTTTGTGTCCAGTGTATTGTGAATAATCAGAGGTTACATTGAGTTAAAGCTACATATTAAAGTGGAATTGCAGGCTCAGTTTTATAAATTCTTAAATGTAAAAAAAAAAAGTTATTTTTGGACAGGTGTGTTAAAAATGTAAATTGCTTCTCTTTATATACAGTTTATTATACATTTGTATGAGTGGGATACTATAGTCACAATGTACTTCCAGCCTGCGAATCTCATACAAGCAAGTGATAGTTTTGTTTAGTCACACCCCCCTCTTTTTGTCCATTTACAGAACACTGTGTATTCTGTAAATGGTTCATAGAATACAAGGAGTAACGATACATGCAGTTGCAAGATGTGATGTCCACTGGTGATATCCTCCTCTCATTGCTCCTCTTAGAATTTGGTGTCAGCGCCTCTGAGCTGAGTGGGGAAACTTCTGGTCTAAAGAAAGCGGTAATATGTACAGCAAAGGTCCCTGCCACACTGGATCTTCAAGTCATGCCTTCAATGGTAAACAAAGTTTTATATATGAAAGTCTTAATGAAATGTGAACTCCTTGCAATGAATTATATCTTTGTTATCATGATCATCAGAACAAGGATGACTCATGGAGTTAAGGTGTCGGGTGGTGAATTCTGACAGGCGGTCTGTACTATCTTAATTGGTGCTATCGTTGGGGCAGGGTGTACATCAAGCTCACAGCTCTCACAGGGAGTGAAATATTTGGCACTGTAACACCAGATCAATGGGATATAATGCAACTCACCCATCTGTGGTTTAGGATTGCTTTAACGTAACTGTTTCTACAGCTGACACATCAATTACTTTAATCTCTGTAGGGAACTTGAAACATTAAACTCCATCTGCTCCAAATCTTTTCTCCATCAGTAGATCTAATACTCAAGTTTGATAGATTTGATAAAATGCTCTCTGGATTATGGAAAAAAAATACCCAACCTAAACCACTATTTGATATAGACTGATCAACTGAATAACAAACAACATGTCTGAATGCAGTGGCGGAACTACCAGGGTCGCAGAGGTCGCGGCCGCGACCGGGCCCTGGAGTTCCGCCACTTGGAGGGGGCCTAGGACAGGAGGAAGGGGCCCCTGGTAACCGCTGATTACCAGGATATTTATTATCGCGGTAGCCAGATGCATCCTAAATATAGACTGGATACATCCTAAATATAGACTGGATACATCCTAAATATAGAGCCATTTATCCAAGTTTTTCAAGCTGCTTTCTCCAGTGTTTGGTGTACAATATGGAACCACGGCGCTTTGGTTGTGATGGACTTGAGAAGCAAAGTGTGAAATGACAGTTGAGTTCAGAGCTGAAGGTTTAGTTTGCTCAGTTTCCAAAAATGCGCGATATCGCGGTGGAAATCGCACGATAAGTCGCTACATGTGAACGAGGCCTGAAGTTGACATGGGGTCCGGGAGCGGAAAGCTGGGGACATGAAGGGGGAGATGGGGGGAGCTGGGGACATGAAAGAGGAGAGTGTGTTTTTTTTTTCTAAAATTTGTTTTAAAAAAAAAAGAAATCTATTTTTTTTTCTTCTTGGGGGGGGGCTTCATGGATTCTTGCATTGGGGCCCTGAGGTCACTAGTTACGCCAGCAATAGCCAGCATTCTCACTACCATTTAGTTAATCATCTTAAAGCAACAGGCTTGCATTAATCCCCAGCATATACTTACCTTACCTTTGCTCCCCAAAAGTTATGTTTAGCACTGACAGATTAGGAAAATACCTGGTGCTTCCAGGTTTTGAGGAGCATGTGGTTCGCTCCATGTGACAGTGCTGGGCCAATCAGTGCTGTCACACAGGCAGTCCATAGGCTTGTGTTACCTACAAATCCAGCAGCTTGTAACTTACAAAGGAGTTGCCTTCATGTCCAATAGAGAGAAAATGCTAGTGATGCAAGTATGTTCTGCTCGAAAGGCCATAAATTAAAGTAAACCTGATGCACTTCCCTGCACTGGCAAAGCACAGATTAAGATATCAATGGAAAGAGGGGTCAAACTATAATATTTTTCACAGGGCATCAAATCAAATGCTATTTGCTTCACTTCCTTCCACCCCACCAAGTAAATAACCAATAAGCTTAGGTCTTATGGTCTGTGTCTAGATGGTCATTTGTGCATATGTGATGTAGATGCTGGCAGAACTCAAAAGTATATAAGTCTTTATACTGCCATATTAAAAGCTGGCACCGTGTAAAATCAGCCATAAACTGGCATGGGAAATATTGCCACTAATATTGCCTCAGTGTTTCTGAAACCTGTACAACCAACACAACATGTTCTACTGGTGACGTTAAATATGGAGGAGAGATAATCATGGTTTCAGCAATGTAATCTTGCCAACCTTGTGAACATCCACAAAACACAGACTGTTGTTTGGACTCGAGGAGGGTTTAGGAAACACTGCATTAAGTGCAAGTCAAACGTTTCACTGTTTACCATGCTCCGAATAAGCCAAGAAGCTCATCAGAAGACTTTTTACAGTGCTTTTGTGCAGTAGTGCAGGGTTTTGTCACAAGATTCCTTGCTGTGCAACCTCCCTTTCTAACGTACAGTGCGGAGAATTCGGATACTTATACAGGATTTGATTCTGCTTCTTTCATGAAATATGGATACTGACAGCGATCAGGATGTAGTTGGCAAGATAATTGCAAGCATGAAACATGGAAAGAATTGCTTATTCCTTTATTACTCTATTGGAAATAATTAATAGATGTTACATTTTTTAAAAATTATTTATGTGTCTAGAAACTTTTGTTAAAAACCAGTAACGACATGCAGAACCCCTGGGCTTATAGTGATTCATTTTACAGGAGAAAGCAAAGGATAAAAAAAAGATGGAAGGACAAGAGAGGATGAAAATGTAAGAAAACAGAAGAAAAGAGAATATGCCGGAGAAGAATCATAGATGATGGAAATAGCCTGGGAAGAGGTCAAGAGAGTAATTAAAGCAAGCATCTGGGCAAGGTTATAATTATATCAGAAATGGTGGTCAAGTGCTGAGGTAGAATGATCTTTGTCTCTATATACAAAAGGGTGCAAAAATGTTAGGGCTTGTTAAACGACAGTGACAGCTAGCTCCGCCCCACCTGTTTTCTATTGGCCGGCAGTTCTGCTGACGTAAAAAAAAAAAACATTTTCGCCATAGGAATGCATTGCTAGATTCCTATTGGCTATTTCAATTTGCAATAGCAAACTAGCTATTACACCCGCCCTCTGCTGCTGTCAATCACTAGTGAGGACCTGATGGAGAACTGCAGATCCCCTCTGCTGATTGACTGCAGCAGTGAGCGGGTGCAATAGCTAGTTTGCTATTGGCTATTGCAAATTGAAATAGCCAATAGGAATCTAGCAAAGCATTCCTATGGTGATTTTTTTTTTTATTATTCTGAGGCCAGCCAACGGCTCCATGTCAGAATAAAAAATAAAAAAAAGCAGTGTTTCTCTCCTGGGCAGCCAGGAGAGTTGGGCTGTCTGGAGATCAGTGTCCCTGGTTAGCTGGTAACCAGGGACGCTGATCTCTCTGCAAGTGGCCGGAGCCAGCCAGAAGATCACAGCTGGCTCCGCCCAGCTGTCAGAAGCATGCTCGGCCAGCTTCGGCTTTCACCTCGGCTCAGTCGAGCCGAAGCATATCCCTTCGGCTCGACTGAGCCGCTCGGCCGACTTCGGGAGCTGTACGGGCTATAGTGAATAGCCCATACAGAAGCCCTTCGGTTCTACTGAACCGAAGGGGTCCTGGGCCCGAAGCTAGCCGAGGGATCAGCCAAAGCTACGGCTAGATCCTTTGGCTGCTTCGTGAATAGACCCCAAGGTGAATTATCATACGATTTTGGAAGATTTTAAAAAAGTGTTAGACTGAGTCAATGAAGAAAGACCAAATATAAAAGGTTTTTGAAGGGAATCTGAGAGATGGAAGAGTAGAAAACCAAAGCGGGGATGGATTATTGATGCAAGATCAAATATATACTCAATTAACCTGACACATTTGTGAACTACAGTGAGCAAAAGAGTACTTACCATTTAGTACTGGCAGAATGTGCAGCATGGTCCCTAACAGAAGAGGATACTCATGCTCAAACACAAACCAGGCAACTTCTCCTAACTGTAACATCACAGAGGGGCATAGGGGCTGTGTGACATTACTGTCCTAATAAAGAATGAATGTACTTTTTAGAATGGCGGGTAATAAGTAAGTAAAATACTTCCTTGTCTTTCTTCCCCACTCTGCCTTGTTTATGTGTCTCCTGCATGGCTTGTGGGTGAGTGACTGAGCCTGGCCCATCATTTAAAAGGGCTACATTTCCACAAGTTTATCTATCGGTTTCTGTACATTTCCAAGGGAAGAGAAGCATTCTTTAAGCAAAACAAATCCTACATTTTCCCTGCACCATAAGTTTCACTTACCCAAATTCAGGAAGATCTTTATCAAAGTGAACATTGTCCTCATAGACAACTTGGAATCCTTCATTGACAGCAATAACCTTCAACTGTAAATTAGAAAACAAAACTACTGTTGTTGTCTATTATTAACTACACATGGAGTTTTGGAAGAGTCAAAGAGCATTGTGCGAAGAGTAGTACCCTATACCAAACAATCAGAAATTGTCCATTGTGCTGAAAAATTAAGGGCACATCAGACTGGTTGCCGTGGACAATTATGAAAATCTTCACTGCTGTGCTAAATAAACCCAATCAGCGCACTTATTTTAGAACCCCTGTCAGGTTTTTATTGTCGTCTGTTTCCCCAAAGAGATTCATGCTCTCGTTTTCTCCTGGTGGCCATTTTCACTGGAACTGAAAGTGAGGGAAAATTGAAAATTATAAGTAACCCCAAAAACAGGAATAGAGGGAAAATCTTCCAATGGGTGCACTTCTTCACCAATTGTTTAAGAGGGTATTTCCTTTTACTTCCTGTGTCCCTGGTTGCTAAGAGCCGGGCGGTGAGATGTGTACGGGAGAGGGGTGGGGAGGGAAAAAAGTCAGCTGTCTCCGTGGGTCGGCGACCTTTCGCTGACCCACAGAGCAATGCTCTCCCCCCCTTCAACTGGTGCCCGGGGTATGTGCCATACCCTGGATATGCCACTGGCACCCTATAAACTAATATCTATGCTACAAAGTAGAGCAGCTATTAGCCACCGATCTGCACCTGCTCTGACCAGTACAGACGCTCAACAGAGGCAGACTTTGGCCCCTTTCACATGGGCGCCCGTCCGCTCCAATCAGCAGGGGATCCGTGCACAAATTTCTATGTTTAAAGATAATAAACACCTGCACATGCTGCACTTTGATTCACACTGCTGAGGATATGCATCGACACTGAGCGCTTTTTTTATATTGGTTTGCAGGTAATTACAATTTTTAAGGTTAAATTCCTAATTGGGCGTACAAAACATCCCCAGGGTTATTTGGCTAAGTGAAAACTACTCTTTTAGTAAATTATCCCCCATAGGGTCCAGTGATAATAAGCACTTGCAAAGAGCTTTTTATAGCTCAGTTGTTAAACCATGTAGTTCCTGATTCTACAAACAATGCCCCATGTGAAAATTTGTTGCGTTAGCCTTGGTCCAGCAACCTTGACGTTGCAGCTGTTAAGGAACTACACGTCCCATGAGGCATTGCGAGACTCTGACAGCCACAGGCATGACTCCCAGAGGCAAAGGCATGATGGCATTCGTAGTTGAACCACAGCTGGAGTTGCCAACATTGCCTACCCATGCTGTATTTTATTAAATTCTAAAATCTTTATAACCAACATGCTCGGCAAATGATTGTGATGTCTCCTCTGACTTGATACACAACTGTTGCTAAGGAGACCATATGTTATGTATGTTTATCATTACATATAAGATGCATGTTACCTGCTGAGTGCTGAAGTCAAAGCCCAAGTAATAGGCAGCAGAAGCCATGGGACAGGATCACGCTGACTGCAGCCCTGAGAGTGTCCACTGAGCTCCGGCCATCAATCAGTAACCACATGCAGCTCCAGTCAGTGGGCTTTAGTTAAAGGATTACAGGAAGCAAAGGGCGATTTGTGACATGGTTTATTCATACAGCACTCTGATTCACAGCAAACACTGCATGTCTCCCTCCTTTCTTCCTGTAGAGCACTGACAGCTTCCTTCCTTCCCTCTTGTCACTGTAATATGATTCCCCCGGATTATGTCAACAAGATTCCAGGCCTGCAGCATTAACAAGCTGAGTCTCTGCAGCAGACTTTATAGAACTAAAATTCCCAGAATGCCCGGCTGATGCTGCTAAGTAAAAAACATTTTCTTGGCAATAGTTATTATAATAAAGCGGAGCTCCAGGTATACATATTTATATATACTTACATTGGTCCAGCTTGTCAATGCAAGTACCGGTATACATATTTTGTACTTGGTAGGGCCACAGGGACATTGTAAAATACAATTGTAGCTGGAGCTATTAGTCCACTGTCATACCATCGCGTTCCGTGAACGCGGGGAAAAATACACGCTTTGAGAAGCATCAAAAACACACTTGTGATATTACTGGTTAATGGCACCCAAACATAGCTGGGAAAATGCATGGTTTTTCCGCACGTTTGCACGTGTTTAAACACGCAGGAGAAAAACACGGAAAAAGAAGTCACCAGCACACCAATCTCCACTTCACCGTTCTGTCTTTATTTACGTTAGATGGTCATAACATCGCAGGTGATGATCAACACTGCCTGATGAAGGAACCTATACGGTTTCCGAAAAGTTGCTATTCATTGAGATGTTATGACCATCAAACGTCAATAAAGACGGAACAGTAATGTGGAGATTGGTGTGCCGGTGACTTTTTCTTCTAGTTCTGATTACATGTGGCGCCATCTGCACCCACCTGAGGGATACAGGGTTTTAATCGGTCAGGAGTGCGATGGGGACTTCCACGTGGGAAAAACCCAAGGTACACATGTGGCAGATTTTGCTACATGAGCTACTTTTTCTGCGTTTGAAGCCGCACCCATCGACATCAATGGGGACGAGCGTCAGAAGCGGGGGGGAAAAACCGCGTGCGAACATGCGTAAACGCGACATGTGTTCCAGCTGCATGATGGTGTGAATGGAGCCTTACAGTGTTATGAATACACAGAGGGACATTTTATGAATGGGTAGGTGTTCTCTAATTGGACAGTGGCACCATGGCACTACCGCTCATCCAATCAGAGAATGCCTAATATAGATTAATAAAAATTGTAGATATTCGCTGAATGGCCACTGTTCATAGCAGAGAAGTCGCTCAGCACAGCGGCATACAGGACCCAGAAGATCACCGTCAGCACTGTTGTACCTCCAGCTACGACTATGTTTTCCAGGGCCCCTGTGGCCCTACCAGGTATAATATATGTATACTTACAATGGACCAAAACTGAAAAAAATCAGAATCTATAGCTAATACAAGTAAAGTATATCTAAAGCCAAAGCTTTTTTTAATTTTGAGTATGGAATGGGTAAAACTCCTTGTTTTTTTTGCATGTTCCATTGGGGACATTTTCCTTTACTTCCTGTGTTGGAAACACAACAGGGAATCAGAGGAAATCAGTGCAAAGTAAGGACCCGTTCACACCAGCAGCGTGCGCTCAGGCCCGGATTTCCCACAAGGCCACCGAGGCCCGGCCTTGGGGCGGCAGAGCGCAGAGGGGCGGCAGCGGTGACCTTGTGGGGAAGTTGTGGGCGCCGGCGGCCCGCAACTCCTTCCCCCAGCTGTCAGATACTTCCTCTGGCGTCCTGTTAATGTGGATTGACGCCGGAGGAAGTAGCCGTCTACCTTGCTATCACACAGGGGCTTGTTATCTCCTGTGTGATAGCAATAAAGTTAGGTGGGGGGAAAAATTACATTGATTTAAAAAAAATAAAATAATAAATAATAAGAGTAAATCCGGCCCTGCGTGCGCTACTGCGCGGCTACCGGTGTGCACTGTGAAGGAATGCATGCAGTAGGCTAATTTCACTTAACACTGTAAAGGGGCCAGGTTAAAGATAGTGATAGTATCAAAACCTAAATCCTGTCACCTGACACCTTTATGTTCTGATTGTAAAGAAGTCCAAAAGAGAGTTAAAGTAGTATTAAACGCTCAAACTTTTTTTTTTAAATAATTAATCCAAATCTAACAAATAAACATTGCCCAGCAAAGTATTTCTTTAAATCCAAGCGCTTACAATCATCATGTTTCTAAACAGCTGGCTCCAAGTCTCTCAGCTCTGCTTCCCTGAACTTTCTGTCCAGTTCCAGATCACAGGAGACAGAACAATGACCAGCAGCCGTCCATCTACTAGCTTGAAGAAGGGAAAAGAGAAGAAGGCAAAGCAGCGGGAGGGGAGTAGCTTGCTTTACTGTGCCTATGTGTTTGTGGAGACACACACAGCTTACTAACACACACAAGGGTGGCTCTATAGGAGCCTGCAATGGAAAGTAGCCATCCTAAGGGCTTGTTCACACTATCTCCAGACCAGATCTGGGTGGCAAAAAAGTATTTAGTCAGCCACCAATTGTGCAAGTTCTCCCACTTAAAAAGATGAGAGAGGCCTGTAATTGGCATCATAGGTAGACCTACTATCATCACAAGTAACAAAACCTCAAATGAGACAATAGTGTACAAGGCACAGCGGCACAGTAAGTCCATGCAAGTCTAGCTACAACATTATAATCATGCCACTGGTCAGATGGGGTAATTCAGCCGCCCCTGTGAGTGTTCCACTTTAGCATACTTCACACAGGATGCAAAAACTACACATGACGTAGGGTAAGTGCGTTCCAGGGAGGGAGTAGTACTCATGTGCCCCCCATAGGGGTCACAATTCGAAGATATGCATCAGTAGCGGTGTAGTGGGACCACGCTCTCCAGGTGTTGCGGAATCTCTCTTCAGTGTTGTGGACAGTGGCCGTTAGATCCTCCATCTGGTGAATCTCATTAACTTTTGACAGCCAAAGGCGCAGAGATGGAGCCTGGGTCGATCTCCAGAGGGCCGGGATACATGCTTTGGTAGCGTTTAGCAAGTGAATAGATAGTGACGCCTTGTAATTGCGCCTTGATAAATTAGTCATGTGCAGAAGGAACACCTCTGGGGTCAGAACCAATTCTGGTGTCACCAATTGGTTGATAATATCTCCTACCTCAGCCCAAAATCTGTTCAAGGAGGGGCAACTCCAGAAAATGTGCAACATCGTGCCCACTGCAGAACCGCACTTCCAGCACACAGCTGGGATGTTGGGGTTCATTTTGTTCAGGACGTGTGGAACCCTGTACCACCGGGACAAGACCTTGTATCCTTGTTCTTGAAACCTGTTGGCTATCGAGCATTTAAGAGAGAAATATATCATCTTGTCTCTTTGCTGAGGGGTAAAGGCAGTGTTCGGGTCGGCTTCCCACCTCTCTGGAAATTGCGGGGTGAAATCTGGCGGGGGGGCCACTAACAATTTGTAAGTCTGAGACAGTGCATGTCTGAGCAGCTCCCCCCTCCCACACATGTCCTCAAAGGGAGTCAGCGACCTTACCATCTGTAGCGAGGCAGGGATTGCCAGCAAAAAGTGCCGGAGTTGGTAGGTAGTCCAAACATCCAGGGGTGTTTCCAGTAAAGCTCTCAGAGTCGGTATTCCCAACCAACTTCCCCCAGCCCTAAAGTCCGGAACCCGAAATTTGTTGAGACCTATGAGAGTGCATAGGCGTCGGTTTTCCATACCCACTGGAAAGTCCGGGTCTCCTACCACTGGGGTGAGCGGGGAAGGGAATGGGGAGATGGACGAAGAGCGAAACAAGGCCCTCGCAATTCTGAGTGTGGCTCCGATCGTGGGATGTCGGGCGCATGACGCGGGCATGGGGCTTGAGAGCCACGGAAGACCTGGCAGCGGGATCGGTGAGACCTCTAGATCCATACGCACCCACTGTTTGTGAGTGGAGTGACAACACCAGTCCACAACCCTATTCAGATGTACTGCTTTGTAATAAAGGTTCACGTCGGGGAGCCCGATCCCACCCGCTGATTTGGGCATCGTAAGGAGGCGTCTGGCAATTCTGGAAACCCCATTTGCCCAAACGTAAAGTTAAAACATTCTGCGTAGGCGAGAAAAGAAGGAAGGTGGTAGACGAATGGGCAGCGCTTGCATCACAAAGAGTATTCTGGGAAGTATGGTCATTTTAAGAGCGTTGCAGCGTCCAAACCATGTCACCGTTAGCGCCTGCCACGCTCTTAAATCTTGTTTAATCTGTGATAAAAGGGGGGCAAAGTTGGCTTCGTACAACAATTTCAAGTCCGCCGTGATATGGGTGCCTAGATACGGTAGAGAATGAGCCTCCCACTTGAAAGGAAATGCGGCCCGAATCGCGTCCCGTTATACCTGAGGTAACGTGATGTTCAGTGCCGCCGATTTGGACCAGTTGATCGCCAGGTTGGAAAGGGAACCGTAAAACATTTGAACTCCCTCATGAGTTCTGGTAGGGAGACCTGGGGCTGCGTGACAAAAAATAGCAGGTCATCTGCATATGTGGAGACCTTGTGTTCCATGGAGTGCGACCGGAAGCCTGAGATCCCCCCATTCATCCTGACATGACCCAAAAAGGGTTCCATTGAGATGACCTTTTGATATCGACCAAATACTTTTCCACCATAATTTGCAAATAAATTTGTTCCAAATCAGCCAATGTGATTTGTCTGGATTTGTTTTCTCATTTTGTCTCTCATAGTTGAGGTATACCTATGATGTCAATTACAGGCCTCTCTCATCTTTTTAAGTGGGAGAACTTGCACAATTGGTGGCTGACTAAATACTTTTTTGCCCCGCTGTATGTATGTGTTTTTTATGCGGTTTTTTCTTCTCTGTTGGATTTGCTTGAGTTAACATTTATGGTGCGTCTTAGAGAAAAAATGCAACATGCTGGACTTTTTATAAAAGCTCTGGAACTGAACGCAATGGTGTAAACTAGCCTCTGGTCTGGAGATGGTGTGAACAAGCCCTTAGGATATCAGGGCCAGTGCTCAGGGGACCAGCTGATTCTGCAGGAAATTAACAGGGTTATTCACAAAAGGGTGAAGAGTTTGGAGAAGGCAGGAGAAGTGAACAATCTAGGACAACATAGCT